CCATGGATTTTTTTTCATCAATCCAAAAAGATTTAAATAATGCTTACATTTTCAATACAATAGATTGCAATTTGATATTGCAAATCTTAAGAAAAGTAAAATGTAAATTTTTGTTGAAATTTGTAAATTACAAAACTGGAGAAAAAAAATAGAGAAATTAACTTATAGACATTTTATGCTAATTTGTTGGAATTTAAATTAAGAAAACATAAAAGTCTAAAAGCCTAAAATTTATTCGAAATTTTGCACTGAAAATATTATTTAAATATTGAGGGCCAAATAATTGCAATTTTTCTTTGTACTTTGTAATTTTACCTATATATTTAATACCCAAAATTTTCATATATTTTTTTCCTTCCATCCAAAAAAATTTAATCAATCTTRAGAAAGGAAATCTTGAAAAAAAAAAGAATTTTTTTTTGGAGTATGTAAATTTCAAAACATAAAGAAAAAATAGAGGAAAAAATTAAAATTAACTAAAGGAATCTTTTAAAAATTATTTTGTATTCTCTAAAGGGTAAAGGTTACCCCTTTGTAAAAAATTCTCCTTTACACTAAATCCCTAAATCTCCCTTCACCCTTTATGCACGATTTCGACCTCCACGCTGCTAGACTAAACACACCCGGTGGAATCGAGCGCTGCTGTCGAATTAAAGGCCTCCGATGGTGGAATCGAACGCTGCCGGTTGAATCCAATGCTGGTGAGGGTCGAAGCCTTAAAAAAAGTTATGAAATTATTAACTTCCAAAGGTTGCCAAAAAAGATATTAACTTCTTTTACTAAAGGTGACTCGAAAACCTCCGGAAAATGTTCAAAAACTTTTACTCTTAATTTTTTTTGTTTTTTTATCAGTAAAAAAAAACTTTTACTTTTAATTGAAGGTTATTAAAATCCTCTTAAAAATGCATAAAACCTTTCATGGAACGCTATTAAAAATGTAGAAAAAAGTATATAATACTATATTATTATTAAAAGAAATATAATTTATTTGACTTTATTAAAAAAAGAAGATAAAATTACTTAAAGAAATATCGTTACCCTTTCTCCTCTGTCCTAAATCTCTTTACCCTCTTTCTCCATTGTGAAGAACCGCCGCCCTTTCCTCCATTGTTCAGACCATGCTGCCTGATCATCCGCCACCGCGAATGCTGCTGTATGTCGCCGCTAGTCGCCGCCGGTGAGGATCGAACGCGGCTGTTGAAGATCGACGTCGTTCAACACCGCTGAATCTCGTTGAGGGTCGAACACAGTCGCAGCCGCTTTAGTGTTAAGAGTGCCGGTGAACGCCGTCGCCGCTGGACGCCGGTGAACCCAACTTAATTACCCAATTTTCATTTTTTTGGTTACCATTTTACGTTTTCTCAGCCTGTCTCACTCGCACAACTCCCGATCCCCACGACCTAAAGCACGAACGACACCGTCCCTTTCAGCGTTCCAAGCAAAGATCGGCGGAGACTCCGGCAGCGCGAACGGCGGCGACCCCACGTTGCTGGACAGCAGTACTTTTTTCAAAGATGCACGATTCTTCTGCAATCGAACGGCAACGCCTGTACAACTCAGATCTGAACGACGGCGACCCTACAACGTGAAATCGAGGCGAGCTCCAGGAGTCGAACAGTGAGCACGATGACCAGATGTAAAAGGTGAGCACGACACAACCCATATCTGAACAGTCAAGCAAATCTTCTGTAATTTCTCCGGTCAAACATTCAGATTTCGATTCTTATATGGTGATCTTAATTGATCTCTTTCATTTGACTGATGGTTGTTTGAAAGTTGGAATGGTGTTTATGGTTATTTTGAGTAGAAGTTATATCAAATGAGATTGAGAATTATGGTGATTGATACCATGAACCCCTCTATGCAACTAGTGAAAGCTATAAATATATATATTGTATGTTGGCTGCGGTGGTCTATACTTCAGTCAAATTAAATTTTACCTACAAATATATACTCAGATGTTTTTTGTGAAGTTCTGGACTTTGAACTTTTACCTCTAACTTTTGTATTTTATTTGATTTTTCTGTCATGTTATTTTTGTGACTTCTAATGAAAAATTGTTATATATTCGGTGGAAGTTCTACTGGTGGGTTCTTGCCCCTTCTAATATGATGGTGGGTTATTGCTTCTTCTACGTTCTTTATGTGTTTAGTTATCAAAGCATGATTACTCTAGTAGTTATTGTTTAGGAATTTTCTGTCTGGCTTTTGTTGTGAGATCCTCTCTACCTCAACCAATTGTTGACCTTAAAATTGTTTCTTATGTTGGTTATTTCGAGCTATATTGTATCCTTTGGTATTACTACTCTTAAAAATTGTGTGTTTTTTTTTTTTTGGATTCCTTTGCATGCTAGATAAGGAGTTTTCTATCAGCCTTTCGGTTTCATGCAGGACCTCAGATTGTCGCTTTCAAATTGGACCAATTCCTCATTGTCAATGAACCATTTATAGAAGGAAATTCTTGCTCAATGTCATATGTTATTGAGCTCATTAGCTCAACTTTAATTGATAATAAAGTCTAAAAACTTGCATTTTGCCCCATACTTTCTATCATCTTTTTCTACTTATTCAATTATAGATTGAAAATGGTTGACGCCAACATTGAAGGTTTGGAGAGACACAATTAGCTTAGTACAAGAAGCAAATATAGATTCTATTCAAGTAACATGGGAATATGAGAATTTGTAAATTTAGTGAAAGCTTTGTTCATTTTCAGGGAAGCAAAGCTCATAAATTTGAAAGCAATGTGTTTTCTAGCACAAGCTTTGAATTTATCTGATGTTTGAGAACCTTTTACCATTTTAACTCTATGGTAAATAATGTGTCTATTCTAATCTTGAATATTTCCATGTTGAGTTCCTCTTGTGGAGTTCAACTTTTACCATTTTAACTCTATGGTAAATAGTGTGTCTATTCTAATCTTGAATAATTATATGTTGAGTTTCTATTGTGATTTTCGACTAAACTGAAATGCTCTTCCGTAATGGTTAAATTACAATCTTAGAAGTTAATTTCTTATTTTAGTTCTTGTCTTGATCCTCAACAAGAGTTTATGATCTTACAGCTCTCAAGTATTAGGGACCCTCCACTCATTTAAACTTCTCGATATAAAATGATTGTGGTGTTATCGACCTATTTTTCGATCTTCAAATTCATTATGACGATGTTCTTTTTGCAGCTAAAGAACTATCAYGATGATTATAGTTTTATTTGCAGAGCAAGCAGATCCTAAGGATCCTTGCCATTACTTCAATATCAAGTTGCAATATGTGAATGCTATGAATTGTACAGTTTTAGTCTTCTACTAAATGAACATTTTTTTATAAT